TTTATTTCACTGCCTGGAAACTTGAGTTTCTTTTCTGAGGTTGGTCTCCCTGTTCTTTCGGTTGGCATAAGAACAATTAATAATTTAGACCATGTCCATTTAAAAAAATAGGAATACTGTATAAATATAATACTGTAATAATAAATTTAAAAGTCGATTCAGCTGGGCACTGTTCCCAGACTACCAGCTGAGCAGAAACACAAATAAGTCAAGAAGAGGAAAAACTGCTATCATGCAAATGGCTGCAATTTCATTGTTCCTGCTACTCTCCCTTATTGCAAATATATGGTATCAGAGTTACATTATAGCTAAATAGATTTCATGAGGTAACCTGGAAACGCAATCACCTTTTATAACATGATTTATGGGGGGGGGGGGAGACGCTTCCCATATTACAAGCAGATGGTTTGCCAGCAAACTTTTGGACTGCCATAAATTTGTAAGGTGGGTGTCAGGGAGGAATCTCAACTCTCAGTTTCAAAAACCTCACTGCAATTGGCTCGATTCTGACTGATAGTAACCCTAGAGGGCAGAGTAGAACTAGCCCTGGCAGTTTCCATGAGGACCAGCTGCTGCTTTCGAACTGCTGACCTTGAGGTTAGCAGGCCAGTGAGCAGCAATAGATGAGAACTGGACACCTCTCAGATTCCCCTTGTTTGTTTCCTTTCCAAATCCTTGCTACCCTTTGCATCCTAGAGACTATTTTACCTTCTGTCCTCCGTGCTCTTGGGGCCCTTATGCCTGTTCCCCTTATCCTGGCCCAGTCCCACCTTCCAATCTCTTTGAGACCCCAGGAAGACCAGAGGAACCCCGAATGCCTTTGCATTTAACCACCCTGTTAAATGATGGCTAGGGCCCATCGGACACTCAACTCTGAAGCCAGACTTCTGCCATTTACCAGCTGCACGGCGGCATCTTATCCTTCTCCGGGCCCTGCTGTCTCATCCTCTACAGAACAGGATGTGCTTCCTACCTCTGGGTGGTCGTGGGGACTAAAGGTCAAGGCCCCACTATAAACCCTCAGGCAGAGCCTGGCGCTGAGCCACGGTCCCATGTATGCCAGTGGGAAGTGAAGACATGCTCCAGGTATGTTAGGGGTGACCTAGGTTTCCACGAAAGCCAGGGACAGAAACCTGCTGGGGGGAAATGCCATCTGAATTTTACAGAGCCAACGTGGAAACAGGTCTGTGGAACTCTCTGTTGGTGAGTTGTGGCTGAGGTGGGTTTGGAATGCCCTTCTGGGGTGTGACTGGTGGGGTAGGTGGTGTAGGGCAGGAGGAGAGAGGAGGAGGGCAGTTAGTTGAGTGGCTACATTGGACTCATTATGGCAAACTGATCGGGAACAAGGACAAGCCTCTGCAATCGTCTCAGCCACCTGTTTCCACACACGGTATTTTCACCTAAGGAAAGATTTTTGTTTCCATTAAATCTTTGAATTTTTATTTGTGGCTGTGAGGTTTTTTTTGTTTTGTTTTGTTTTCCTTCGGGCAATTTTCTTTGCATTTGAGCAGGTTCTAATTTACGAATAGGTATCAGCCGTATCTCGTGAGCATGTGATCAACTGGAACTGAGAACTAGAACAATTGACAAACCCCACAGGAGGATGAGGCAGGAGGATTAACACAATGTAGGGAAAGCGAACGCATCACTGCCATTTTCTCCAGAATGCACTTATTCCCATCCCGACTCAATTTTCCTCTTCTCTGTGGCCTGAAGAAATTTGACATGCAGCCAGTTAAGAAACCAGCCTGCTCCTATCTATACCAGTGTACACCCTCTGGTCTAGCCGGACTTGTAAGGTAGAATTGGGAGACGTCGGACAGGGCAAGATATGACAAAATAATAATTTATAAATTATCAAGGGCTCATGAGGGAGGGGGGAGCAGGGAGGGAGGGGAAAAAAAGAAGACCTGATGCCAGGGGCTTAAGTGGAGAGCAAATGTTTTGAGAATGATGAGGGCAATGGATGTACAAATATGCTTTACACAATTGATGTATGTATGGGTTGTGATAAGAGTTGTATGAGCCCCTAATAAAACTATTAATAAATACATAAATAAAAGAAACCAGCCTGAAGATGCCCCACTTCAGATTCAGCACCGTCACCTCCGCCACGCCCGACTTTCACTGGGGCCCTGACGTCAGCATTCTGGACTGATGCCTCCCTCGATGCCCAAAGAGGAGAGCCGTAGCTTTCCAACGAATCGTTTCAATCTAGCTTGAATTGTTTGCTCAAATGTGGGAGCTATACGATGTTTTCCTCATCTTTAAGAGATGTGAGTGTGTGGGCAGTGAGCTGTCATGAAGATTTTATAATCTGCAATATTTGAGAAGTAATAAGATACTGTTGTTGGTTGGCCATCTGGTTATACATACTTGGTGCCATGGTTTATGGGTTTTTATTTATTTATTTTTAATTTTTTACTAGTGAGAAGCAAGGCATAGTCCAGAAATTCAGAGGTGTTTTATAGAACAAGGAATTTATATTTAGTTCCTGAGCATGAATAGGTTTCATTTGACCTGACGCAAAATAAGATATGAAAGATTCGGGGGTGGGTGGGTTTATTTTTCTTTTCTCTCCCCACTCCACTCCCCCACTCTATCCCCAATCCCCCGCCCAGAAGATTAACTGAAAAACTCAACTTCTAATGTGATCCTTCTCTGGCTCAGACCCCAACTTTCAGCTGATGTTAAAAATAGCCTCTTTACTATCAGGTCTGTCACCGCTCTGGGGATTCCAAGTCATGGTGACCCCAGCCCAGAGAGCTGCACGGCTGGGGTTTCCCACCTGGGACCTTTGGGAAGTAGATCCCTAGACGTAGTTTTCGAGGGGGCCTGTGCGTGGTTTGAACAACCCACTTGACACCTCACTGGTCAGCACTTAACTAGCCATTGAGCGCTTAACTGTTTGTACCACCCTGGACTCTGTACTAGCAGGTGCAATCAGACATCAGTCCCGAGGAGATAACCCTAGCAAGAAAACTTACCCAACAGAAAGGACCTATAGAGATTTCATCTTCCATCCATCCCACTCAAAAATGTTTACTGAAACCCTGCTATTTGCATATCGTGCTGCCAGACACTGAGGGATTTACTGAAGAAATATTAAAGGCGTTCTCTCCCTCGGAGGAGCTTCTAGCTTACTTGGGGAGAAATGACAGAGACGTAGGAAACAGTTAAGTTGTAATTCAAGGCAGCATATGATTAAATACCAAAATGTGTGGCTGCGACAAGAAATGCTATAGGAGTTCAGGAAAGGGAGTGATTACTCGGCGGTGCTACTGTTTTCTGACTACAAATTGGCAAATTGTAGCACTATTTGTATGAAATAGTTTACACTTGTTTTTTTGGCAGCCTTAGGCCCTGACTCCCAGGCAGCGTTAGAGCCTACGAAAATATTTGTCCTCCAGTCTCGGTTGAACTGGATTTTTTTTTTTCTTTTCTTCTAATAGAGGCAGTGCTTATACCAAACCACAGGGCCCATGAGTGGCAGGTAGAATTTTGACAAAGTCCTAATCTGTCTCAGATACAAAATAAGGAAGCAGCCTCGTTCCTCTGTCTTTTCCAGCCAGCAGCCCTGTCCCGCCGTTGCAAATCCTCCCTGACATTGAGAGGCGGTTTAATTTGAACCGAATGTCCGTGACGGACGAGCTAGCCATCAAGGGTCAGATGAATTTATGGCTTTAGAGAATTGCCGGTGACAATATCCTCCTGGTGAGTCTGTTGGAAAAGGAACAGACACAGGTGTCAGGGAATGCAGCCACAGCAGAGTTCCCCAAAATGCCAGCCTGTGGTGACAGCCTCAAGTAGATGGAAGGGGTGATGGCAAATGAAACTCGCTGGCTTCCTGTTCTGTTTTCGCCAATCTTTAAATGAGCCCAGACCTCAAAGACCAATGGGGCCCTGCATTCTTCAGACTTATTTTTCTTTCTTTCTTTCTTTTCTTTGAAGTGAGAGATCAGAGGAAGGAGAAAGGAAAACCCCTGTGAAGTTGAATGCACGGTGTGGACCCAGAGTTCAGGCCTCTCACATCCCCTCAGGGAGTCCCCACATCGGATCGTGGTCCTCATCTGGTTGTGTTTTCAATTTCATGAGTCAAGCCTTTTCAGTTGCCTTTAAAACATCTCTGGCCACTGGTTCTCCCCCACCCCCAAGCCGAGATGCTTGGTACTTTTTGGAGACTACTCCAGAATGTCTCCAGAGTCCTGACAGGAAAACGATTGTGGAGTTTCACTGCAGCTCTTGTTGGGTGGAGGACCCGTCTGGTGAGGCAGGGGTTCTCAAGCCAGTGACCTGGCATGACTACTACCAAGCAAGCCAGCGATCTCACTCTATTCCTGAACTCGCTCTCCAAGGGCCTGGCCCTGGCCACCATTTGAGACTTGTTGGGGGCATCCTCTGTCCTCCCTGACTTGCGAACATGTCCCTGGAAAGTGTTTCACCCTTATCTGTTGACATAATTTGGTGGCGGTCTAAATAAATGTGAGGTAGCAGATGGCTACAGAATGTCTTATCAAATTTGGGGGCAGACTGTGCCCTTGAAGTATTTTTATTTAATCATCCTGCTGAAAGCACAGCATAGTAGCTCTTTGATTGGTGTAAACAATTGTGTTGTAAGCGGTTATTCTGAGATGGAATCGCAAACCTGAAACGTCTGCGATATGCAGATCTTTTCCAGTTCTTTGCTAGATTTTTCCAGAAGGAAGCCCTTTACTTCAGAATCTCTAAGACGCTGTGATTTGGATGTATTTGGTTGTCATCTTGAGAGATGGCTCAGGAGTCTAAGTTCAACATGTTGTCTACATTTGTTCTCTGCTCTTCGACATGACGGGGAAATGCTCTGCTGGATTTTTTGTGTGTTGCTTTTCATGGTTTTAACATCATGTTCCTATTCTCGCTCAAAATCAATAATCCGCTATATAGAACCTGGCACTTTGCACTGAAGCCAAGTATAAGAATGTTTTAACATGTTCAGGGGTGCTGTTTTGTCTTCTCTGTAGGTGCACTTTTCAAGGAGATTGTGGACATTCCAATAACTCAGGAAACTGGATGGATATGTCATTTGGAGCTGAACAGTGCCCTAAAATTCAGATGATTCGAAAAAGTAAAATGGAGGTCAGTGGGATGAGTATATTTTATGAGTCTCTAATCTATTATTTCGTTTTGACCATCTGACACTAACTTACTTGTTTACTTACTTCTGGGTGTGAAGTATCTGTTTACCACCAAATCAGCTCAGTTACAGGGGTGTTTTTATTTAGCCAATAACTACTGCCTGCCTACCAGGTACCAGGCATTCTACAAGGTGCTGGGGATCTTGCAATGCAAACAACGCATCGTGGGCCTGCCCTCCCAGAGTTGCTTATCTGATGGTGTTAAAGATGACTGTTGATCTTTGAATTTAAAGCTAAGATGGATTTTTAATGTCATATATATATTTTTTTTTAAATTCAGATTTAGTCAACAAGATTCCTTAAGTCTGGCATAGCTGTATCATTTTGTTTTGTTTTATGTCTCTTTTTCCTCATGTGGGAGGCCCTACGTGGTCAAGGCGTTAGGTGCCCTCAAGTTGATTCTGCCTCACAGCGACCAGATGTACAACAGAAGGACACATCACCTGGCTCTGCCCTGTCCTTACAATTGTGCTTATGTTTGAACCCATTGTTACAGCCACTGTGTCAGCCCGTATTGTCGAGGGTCTTCCTCTTTTTCACAGCCCGTCAACTTTACCAAGCATGATGTCCTTTTTGAGGAACTGGTCTCGCCTGACAACATGTATGTGAGATGACGTCTTGCCATCTTTGCCTCTAAGGAGCATTCTGGCTGCTCTTCTTCCGAGACAGATTTGCTGGTTCCTTTGCCAGTCCGGGGCACTGTCACATTCTTTGCCAGCACCATAACTCAGACGCGTCCATTCTTCTCTGGTCTTCCTTACTCAGTGTCCAACTTTCACACGCCTAGGAGGCCATTGAAAATACCATGGCTTGGGTCAGGTGTACCTTTGTCCTCAAAGTAGCGTCCCTGCTTTTCAAGACTTTAAAGAGGTCTTGTATGGCAGATTAACCCGAGACAGCTCATCTTGTGATCTCTTGACGGCCGTTTCCATGAGCATTGACGGTGGATCCGAGCCAGACGAAATCCTTGACAACGTCAATCTTTTCACCATTCATCATAGTGTTGCCAACTGGTCCAGCTGTGAGAATTTTGATCATTATATTAAGTTGTAATCCATACCAAAGGCTGCAATCCTTGATCTTCATCAGCAAGTGCTTCGAGTCTTCCTCACTTTCAGCAAATAAGGTTGTGTCATCTGCATATTGTTATCAAGCCTTCCTCTAGCCCTGCTGCCCTGTGGTAAACTGAGGGACTGGATGAGAATGTCATACAGCTAAGGCACCCATGCTCCGAGTTATGGGTCTGGAGAGTTGACTGGTGGGAGAAGACTCTGACGGTTATGAGATATAAATAAATCTAAATATAGTCTCATGACTGAACACAGTCCCTCCAATAACCCCACCCCACCCCCAATAAAAGAACTGTCATACAGGAACTACCATATAAGATGAATCTGGCTACTTCACAATGCCTAGAGATTATCTGTAGATAAGAGCATTCAGGTTCTGTAGCCAACCCACTGTAAAATGTAGCAAACTCTGTTTTGATATCACTTGCTGATAATGACCAGAGATAGCTACCCCTGGGGAGGGCTCAGAGGTGTTTGAGGTCAACTAGCGCTAGGTCAAGACAATGACTCACTTCATTGGTGGTTTATTATGTTACCTTCTTATGAATTATCCCCCATCGACTCTGTACTATGTTAGATGTATGATGTGCATGCCTTATGAAAGATCTGTAAGCCCCGCTCTATCTACCCACGGGAAACTGCATTCTCTCTCTCTCGGTCCTGACATGAGATGACGAGCCCCCGTGCCCCGCTGTCTGTCTGTTTGTCTTTAACATTTTCCGCAATCACAATGTCGCTCCTGAGGACCTGTCAGAGTGTTGGAGACTCCTCACCCTGACAATGCCCTAAGTGGTACAAATGGTTCATGCCCTTGGCTGCTAACGGAAAGTGAGAGAGTGCAAGCTCGCTCAGAAGTGCCTTGAAAAAAGGTCAGTGGCCTCCTTTTCGAAGCTCAGCCATTGCCAGCCTAGGGAGCACAGGTCTACCCTGACACACATGGGTCACCAGAAGCTAGAACTGACTCAATGGCAAAAGGTTGTGTTAAAAATTTTTTTCTTTTTCCTGGTCTCCTAATTCATTTGTGCTTCTCTCGTCAACTCTTCGATAAACCAGACTTCAAGTTATATTGGTAGAGAAGAAACGCAGCCAGTGACTATTGTAGTTGGGGTCATTTGGAAAGCCAGTGGGGCACCTGCATTGTCATTGGCACCTCCATTGGTAGCACAGCAGCCTTGTCATTGGATGAGAAAAAGGAGCAATGAGCCTATTCAAGCATTTTCTGAGACCCTCATCAGCCAGGCCATACAGGCAAGTGGAGCTCCTGCTTGGGCAGCCCAGTGCTGTAAAGAGACACTTTCTCCCTGATGATGGCTCTTGTCTTATGAATACGCGTACAGATCCCCATCAGTAGCCAGCTGACCCGCCTGTTGAGCTGGCTGGGTTTTATTTGAATGCCACATTAACAAGGAAATGGGCCACTTTCTCTTTTCCCCTTAACACTTTGCCATTTCAAAAAGCAAGAAGCATACCACTTAGGATGATTTAACATTTAATAAAGGGGAGCCAGAGAATTTAATGAGTGATAAATAATAAAAGAATCAAGTTTTTAAGTCATAACTGATCAGAACTCACCAATTTAAAGTTATTTGGGCTGTTGTTGCTGTGGACTCCCTGGGGTGGGGGTGGGGGAGTGGCTGGGGTGGGGGAGCAGCAGGGAGATCTCTAAAGCCCTGTATCTACCAACTCTGAATCAACAGCAAACCGGTTTGGGGAGAAAGAGGCTTAGGCGGCAAAGCAGAGGCGTGGCCTAGCTTTCATTGCTCCTATCAGTCTGAAAATTGGTGCTTGCATGCTAATAGAGAATGAGTGACCATTTCTCCACCCTCCAATATAAGAGAGCACTCTGCACAGTGGCTTGAGCCTATGCAAATTTGTGGTGGTTGGTTGGTTTGGGTTTTGATCCTTTTAAGATTTTAGGAGTAATTCTTCAGCTAATCATGGTGGGGGGAGGGGGAGAGGAACTTGATCATGAAATTAAAAATGCTGTTTATGCAAGTTGTTCAACTACCGATGGGTTCATTAGCTTTGTTGGTGACCATGGAGTTGGCCTCCAACTCATGGTGACCCCATGCCCCAGAGACTGAAACTCTGCCTGGTCCATATTTGGTGGAAGATCGGACCATTGTGATCCGTAGGGTTTCCATTGACTGATTGTTGGAAGTAGACTGCCAGACTACTAGTCCTTCTTAGTCTGGGAGCTCTGCTGAAACCTGTTCATATCATAACACACAGCCCTCCACTGACAGATGGGGTGATAGCTGCTTAGGAAGTGCACTGGCTGGGAATTCAGCCGTCTCTCTCACATTTGTTGTTGATGTTGTTGTTGTTGTTAGGTACAGGTGAATTGGTTCTGACTCATTGCAACTCTGTGTACAGCAGAAGGAAATACCACCTGGTCCAATGGCATCCTTAGAATGGTTTCCTTGTTTGATCCCATTGTTTCAGCCACCATGTCAATCCATCTCAATGAGGCCCTTTCTCATTTTCGCTGACCCACCACTTTAGCAAGCATGATGTCCTTCTCCAAACACTGGGCCTGCCTGATATCTTGTTCAAAACACATGACGCAGAGTTTCCCCAGAGCATTCTGGCGGCACCTCTTCCAAGACACATGGTGCGTTTCCTGGCAGGCTGTGGCTGTGGCAGTGGCAGTATTCCTGGTTAACACCGTAATTCAAGTGCATCTGTTCTTCTTTGGTCTTTCTGGCTCTCTCTTGAAAGGCAAGCGTTCTGTCCCTGAAACTCTATTACCCCCATAAATTAAGCACGATTTATTTCTATTCTGTTTTTATTAGGTGCCTATCAAGTTTCTTCTGACATATAGTGAATCTGTATAACAGAACAAAATACTGCTGGTTCTACCACATCCTCATGATAGTTCCTGTGTTTGGGCCCATTGCGGTCACTATGTCAATCCATCTAACTGATGGTTGTCCTCTTTTGTGTGAACCTTCTATTTTACTAAGTATGATATCTATTATGAAACTTTCCAAAAAATGTTTACCACTTAAACAGCCACTAATGATTTCTTCATCGCCCTGGGTCTCATTGTTCACCCTAATTCTCCTACAGTCTTTCCCAAACAACCCATCACGTTGCCTTTTTTTAACTCACCATCACACTAAAGAATAAAGAGAGACAAATGTAGTCATTGATTAAAGCTCTTCTCTGAGACCACCTTCAGATGGGTCATTTTAATTATGTTGATAAGACATCTGGCAGGTATCAGGCATCAAAGACCCAGAACAAAAAATCCTACCAATGTGAATGGTGGGGGGGTGGGCACGGAGTGGAGACCCAAAGCCCATCTGTAGACAATTGGACATTCCCTTAAAGAAGGGTCACAAGGAAGAGATGAGCCAGTCAGGTGCAGGATAGCACCAAGGAAACATACAACTTTCCTCTAGTTCTTTAATGCTTCCTCCCCTGTGCTCCCACCCTCCATTATCATAACCTCAATTCTACCTTACAAATCTGGCTAGACCAGAGCATGTACACTGGTACAGATCAGAGCTGGAAACACAGGGAATCCAGGACGGATAAACCCCTCAGGACCAATAATGAGAATAGGGATGCCAGGAGGGTAAGGAGAAGATGGGAGGAGAAAGAGGGAACCAATCACAATGATCTACATATAACCCCTTCCTAGGGGGATGGACAACAGAAAACTGGGTGAAGGGAGACAGCAGTCAGTGTAAGACATGGGGTAAAAATATGTATACATTATTAAGGGTTTATGAGAGAGGGAGGGGGAGGGGAGAAAATGAGGAGCTGATATCGAGCAGAAAGAAAATGTTTTGAAAATGATGATGGCAACATACATATGTACAAATGTGCTTGACACAATGGAAGGATGTATGGATTGTAATAA